CGACCTCAAGAACCACCGGGGACGCCGCTCTCTCCGCTCCAGCGCCGCTCCAGCGCCGCTCTTCTGGCAAGAAGCAGATGTCACAGGGGGGGGGAGGGCAAGTGGGCGTGTTCCGATGATGTCTGTTTCTAAATCTGCTGATTGTCACGGGCCCCCGGACAGCTGCGGGCCGCCGCCGCTCTTGTGGTGAGCGCCGGTTTCAGCCATCTGAGCAGAAGTGAAGCCAGGAAACGTGCAGCTGAGCATAGTCCCCACCCACTCATTGCCATCCCTGTGCTCTGATTGGTTAATTAGACTTGTCAGTGAGAGCACATACTATAAAAGCTCCCGTTGCAGTTATGGGGCGGCCATATAAGGCGGAGGTGCAAGGTGTAACTAAGGGCAAAAAGGCATAATGGCAGATATTTGCTTTTGAAGACATAAAGTGTGAAGAGGAAAATACTCTGGTTCAAGGTCCAAATTGTTTTGAGCTGGGTAATGGATTATAGACAGGCAGTAGGCAGCCACCTCCTCTATGGGGAAGGAGGGGGCCACGATGGGCCATGTGGCCCCCCCCAGTCGGCCATTCCTCTCTCCAGAGCCTGCAGTCTCTCCATCACTGGCTCCACTCTTCAGTTTGCGGTGAGTCACAGAGAGAGAAATAAATTACAGTAGCAGCAAGGAGAGAGAAGATGTGGGGAGAGATGGAGAGAGGAAGAGAGTGGGAGGAGAGGGAGAGAGAGGGAGCTGGCGAGGGGGGCAGCTCTGTGCGCGCGCGTGTGTTTGGGAGGGGGGGGCGGTGCTTGAGGTTGGGGCGCCGTGCTCTCATTCGCTCCTCTGTTGGCCATGCAGTTACAGTGCTGAGCTCTCATTGGCTGCCCCGCTGGCCGTGTGGTTGCAGCACCGAGCGGTCTCGATTTCCGCACCCTGGCCGTGTGTCACCTCCTCTGGGGGAAGGAGAACACAGATTGGGAATGACCAAGATGAGGCAGGAGAAAGGGACAGACTTCCCACCCCCCCACGCGCACACTCACACTCACACTCGCACGTGTGCCCCCTGACCTCCGTGTAGTGCCATCATTGGAATGCCAGCGGGCACCTCAGACTGCTCTATTCAAAGTCCTATCAGCTACGGTGTGGGGGTGGGCTGTTTGAAAAGCTAATACCACCTATGTTCCATTGCTCGGGCGTGAAGGTCCTTCTTTTTTCTCCTGGTGATGACGGCTCTGTCGTAGGGGGGGGGGGTTCGGTGAAGGGGAGGTGACCAAATGAGCTCCCACACAAGGTCACCCACACCCACCCGGGGTCACATGTTCCTGATCACGCCCCCCAAAAGTCAGCCTTGCTCACTCACACCAACGGAACGGTGTTCAGCAGCCACAATAACTGCCCCCCGCCAGCCCCTGACCTCCCCAGGGCCGCACTCAGACACCCCCGCCAGCCCCTGACCTCCCCAGGGCCGCACTCAGACACCCCCGCCAGCCCCTGACCTCCCCAGGGCCGCACTCAGACACACTCAATGCTAGAGCTGGCTTCTGGGTTCCCGTTGAAGCGCCACGATTTTCTGGATAGACCCCGGAAGTCACTGCCTCCCTCCACGCCGGGGCCTCACAGGTTAATACAGATGAAGATCCCCTCCACCCACACTCATCTCCCCCTAGCCCTGATCTCCCCCCCCCTCCCCCCAAACTCTCCTTGTGCTCTGCTGTCACCTTTCAGAGTTACACCTCGTACCACGGGGCATCTACTGTAAATGTCACCATGTTCCAGCAACTTGCTGGCGTCCCTTTGATGTAAATGGAGCCTAAAATCAATTGACTCTTTTGTTTATAGTCTTTACTGAACAGCCTCAGATATTCCAGAATTCATTCCTACAGACACTTTGTATTCGGTTTATTTTTACAGTGTGAACGTACATGCAGAGAGCATGTTCGTATGCTGACCTGTCCTTATTTACAGTGTGAACATACATGCAGATAGTGTGTTTGTGTTCTGATCTGTAAGAACATAAGAACTATACAAACGAGAGGAGGCCATTCGGCCCATCGAGCTCGCTTCGGGGAAGGTACCGGAAGGTTTCAGGACCACTGTCACTTACAGTCATATTTCGCTTTAATTTAATTTCCTCTGACAAAATATCCAGCTTTGCCTGATGAAAGCTGTAATTGTTTTAGTTTCTGCTGTGGATGAACCTGGCGTCTCGGTGCCTGATGATGAATAATCCGGCCCGTTTCATTCTCACTGCGGCCGAAACGAGAAACTGAGATGCGGCAAGTTTAATGGCCAGCGCCAAGGCCCTCCATTCATATTAGCATAAACCATTAAGCTGTGCCGCAGAAATCGGAACGGAAATGTCCGGAAGCCCCAAGTGTTCGTGGACATCGGCTCACGCTGGAATTATGGGTATTTGGATCAGAGGGTTAGGGTCAGGGGTGGCCAGCGTGCACATTAGCGAGACACCCAGGGGGTCAGTGAACATGAGAAGGCAATCAGGTCTGCTGTCCCCCCCCCGACCCCCCCCCCCACACACACACACACACGATTTTTGCCTAGGCCATTTGTGCAAAAGTTTCATTGCTAATCACTGCATCTGTTGCTCCAGTGTTGCCCCTAGCAACAGCATTCCGAGGGTCCCAGAAGGTCACGGTCCAGCCGTGGTCGGGGCGCTGGGCTGGATGGCGTCCTGTGGGGTGGCAGGGTGACGTTCGGCGCTAATGGGTCATTAGCTACGCACCCGGCGTGCTGCGGGGCCCCACCGGGGGGTTCTAACGGAGCCCTCCCAAGAACACATGCTAATTAATTAGCGTATCCCGCGGTGTCCTGTCAGCCGCACCCAGTCCGTGACGGGCCTGGAAGACAGCGCCGCTTCTGCCGTCCAGAACCCCGACTCCGCCACTTAGCGCCTCCTGCACAGGCCCTGGTTGCACCGTGGTTATCGCTACAGCCACGTGGAACCCGGTTGGGAATCTCATGTGCTAAATCCATACGAGTTCATGTTTGTTTACCTCTATCCTGCCGGCTCCTCAGAGAGGAGCCAATCAGAGAGGTTGAAGAGACAGCCTGCCTTTCTATTGGCCAGGGCTGCCGCCTCTCTGCGTGACCTGGTCTCGTAGGACTGCCCCTTATTTGCCCTCTGCCAGCAGAGTTAGTTTCTCACACAGACACAAAAAAATAAAACGCCTGGCCTTTTTTGTTACTTCTTTTACTTAGCGGGCGGGAGTATTTTCTCTCCCGGATTTCTTGGCATTTCTCGAGCAAGAGAGAGACAGAGAGAAAATAAAGGTGTTAATTACCCCCTACCCTTCTCCAGATTTCTTACGGTTATGTGTTGAGCTGGACTGGGATGGCCATCTGGACCACGCGATGGTGAGGGGTGACGCGTGTGGGAGTGACAGGAGTTTGGACACGCCGTCCTCTCCGGCGCCCAGAATCTCCCTTACCTACCCCGGGCTGGTTCTGGAACGCGCCCGTCCACATGGAAGATATTTATTTTTTGAGGGAGGGGTAGGTTTTTTTTTCCAAATCTGCCTCGCCCCCCTTGAAGCCACCCCCCACTCAGACGTAGCGTTCCCCTTGCACTAAATAGTGGTTCATATGACATAAAGGCCTTGAGTAAGTGACAGGGTGACTTTAGCAGGTAGCGGTCACCTCGTCCTCCTTCGCCTGGTGGCGGTGCTGTGGCCGTATCGGACGGTCCGATGGCGCTCCGGGCTCCGGGCTCCGGGCTTCGTCCTCTGCATTTCCCACGCCCGCCGTCAGCCCCTTCTCAAGCAGTCCGCCCTAATTTGTCAGCATCTTCTGCTGGCGCCAGTGTCCCTCTCTGGGAATTTATGCCATTGCTCTTTACGGGGCAGAAATTCCAGTTTATTTTCTGCTTTCTTGCCTCTGTTCCTTCCCCATAAAAATTCCACCGATGTCGGCACAGATTCCCACGATGGTGTGACGTTTGATGTCATGTACGAGAATACCGTGAGCCCGAGGCTGATCACCACACGCGAACTGGCGAGATCAAAGCTACCCCATGGCACGGCGTTCCGTGTTTGGGTTCTCGTCTGGTTCCCATGGCTCCTCTGGGGTTCCCTGGATTCTGGCCCTGCTCCGTGGGAGATCCCAGCTTCCCTCCAAAAAAGCTCATCACTGCTGAACTAATATCAAAAGAATTTGAATTGCAGTCATTTTTTTACTGGTAGAATTAAGACCTTCATATTCTCTGTGTTTCCTTTTACGGAGATTAAATAAAAATACTATTTCAAAGGTTTCATTATGTGCTGCCGGTTACAGATGTCTTCTATACTCACTTTTCATTTTTTATTTTACGGTGTGAGGGATGTTTCCCCTGCAGTTAAGTTTTTCTGTGGCTGGTTGGCCGGCTGGGCTGCGTGGGGTCACTGGGAGATGCTGGTCTGGGTTTAAACTCCCTAGGAAACCCAGTAACTTGCCAGTAACCAGATGAGGAGCTTTGAAGTGACGGGGAAGTTCGCGTCTCCCCCAGCAGCTACATGCCTGTAACCCCCTCCCCAGACGCAGATCTCCCCTTGTGACGAGGCCGCTCTGTATTCCGGGTGGGTAAAATAGTCACCGGTAATATGTACAGTTAATGCAGAATTATGGGAAAGCTTGTCATCGGTGATAATTATGGCGTAGATAAGCATAGTAATGAGGTCGCTGATGATAACAGGGACAGAAAGCCCCCCCCCCCAATTCTGCTCTGGGTCTGGAGGCCCCGCCCCTTAAACTCACCCCCCGTTTTGCCTCCAGGTATAATAAAATATGATAAAATTTGCCCTCCGCCTAGAGATAGCTAATAAATAATAAGTAACACCATCGTGCAGTTCAGGCCGGGGAATAATTAAAAGCGTGACTGATGGCTGATCGTGCTGCTCCCTGATGCCCTCCCCTGTCAGAATGGCCAGGCGGCAGGGGCGGGGATGGGGATGGGGGGCGGTGACGAGGACGGGGGCAGCGGTGTGGTCCCCCCTGACCGTGTGTTTACCCGAGCGCTTTTTCCCCCCCTCACCCAGATTCGATGTGGAGAATGGCCTGTCCTCAGTGCGCAGTCCGCTGGACTCGCAGGCAAGTCCCGGGCTGGTGCTGCACCCCACCTTCCCACAGAGTCAGCGCCGCGAGTCCTTCCTGTACCGCTCTGACTCTGACTACGACACATCCCCCAAGAGCATGTCCCGAAACTCCTCCGTGACCAGCGAGGGGTGAGTGACCCACCGTGCCGCAGATGCTTGCTGTCCACCATAGCTCCCTTTTGACCTTTGACCTCTGACTGACTGTCTCTTAGAAGAGAGCTGGTTAGGCATCTACAGACTGTGCAGACCCATAACCCTACACACATCCTACACCTGTACAAAACCCAACCTTATATACGAAGCGACATACATGTGAAAGAGCAGGTCAGCCAGTCGCTGGAGCAATTGGGGTTAAGGGCCTTGCTCAGTGGCCAGAGGAAAATCAGTCTATCAGCCAAGGGCTTTGAACTGATGACCTTCTGACTCCAAACCCGCAAAGCCAGACATTGCCCACGCCACTACATTCTGAGACCCCACCTTAGAGGAGCACCAGAACATTCCCTGACAGTATGATGTCATTCATACTACCTCAGAGGCAGAAACGCAGCCCCCTTACCTTGCTGATCAGTGTTAATCGCTCCTCTAAAAGCCCCCAAATGGTCTAAATGCCCCCGTTTTCACATGGACTGCCTTTCTCTATGCTCCTCCTACTCCCCACCCTCCTCCCCCTTTCAAACTGTTTTTTTCTCTCCATTTTCCTTCCATTTCTTTTTTACCACTTCATACTTCCCTCTCTCACTCCTGCCCCCCCCCCCCCCCCCCCCCCCCCCCGCTGTGTTCTCTCTCTCCTCTGCAGACACACGGAGGATCTCATCGTCACCCCGTTCGCTCAGGTGAGTCCTGGTGGTGTCGGGTTCTCGGGGGGGGGCCTCGGTAGACGCGCTGAATCCCGAAGCGAGTTATTTCAATGCTGCTTATCTCTCCCTCTCCCTCCTCTGCCCTTAAAAGGTGTTGGCCAGTCTACGAACTGTAAGAAGCAACTTCACCATCCTAGCCAATGTCACCACACCTACCGCCAACAAGTCAGTACCTTCCTGTCTATCACGGTACCCGAAGTCCCGCCCCCTCCTGTCACCATCCTATCAGCCTTGCTGTCCATGTCTCTCTTAAATCTCATTGGTTTGTCGTTGTCCCACCCCTTTCCTCTGTAGCTCCCCCACATGTGCTCATGCCATGGGCCAGTTGTTTACACACAGTGTTATGTTTTTTTAGGGGGGGTGGGGGGGGGCAAATATTCCTCTATGTAGAGCAGATTTTTATGAAGGGACAACAGACTCACACAGAAAGCAGAGACCAAAAAATGCACCAGGGGACAGCAAGACAACACGGCTGATGTTCAGGCCGCTCCTGAATCAGGCGGCTCGTACGGGACAAGGCCTGCTGTGGCTCCCCAGCCGTGACACTGAGTGCCGCTTTTGACGTGATGGGAACATTAATGCTGCGGTGCTCTGAACACGGAGCAGAACTGCACAGAACCAGCGGGATTTCCCAGATGGGACTCCGAAAGAGCTGACAGCCGAGACCGACCAGAACCTCATTTATATTTGTATCTGTAACATATTTTAAAAAGATACCGTGCAGGTATTCTTCTTCATCTTCTTCATCTTCTTCTTCTTCTTCTTCTTATTATTATTATTATTATTATTATTGCATAAATTAAGGAGCATGACTAGCAGATAATCGCAAATTTCAGCCAACACAAGCACTCATAAACACAACAATGGTATCAAATTCTGAAAACTAACGTGACCTTCGGAGAGACCGAAAGATGAGACACCAAAATAAAGACAGAGCTGTGAAGGAGGGAAACGGCGAAAGACCAGGGCCGGGGATAAGGATCGGACCCGTAACCAGCCTCGCATCGCAGAACCGGGCTCTCGCCATCTACATCCCAGCGGGGCACCAGCATTATTAAACACCCTGCGGGGTGCCGCTAGGGGAGTGGGGGCGGGGGTTGGCAGGGGAGCAGTCCACGCCACATGCGTAGCGTGTCGCTGCTGGGGCCTTTATGTGGGACAGAGTATGAGAGGGTGAAGGAGGAAAGGAGGGAAAGGAGGAAAAGAAAAAGAGGAGGAAAAAAATAAACAGCAATGTAAATAATAGCCAATGGTGAAATATGATGCCAAACTTAGGTGTTGATCAGCCTGTGGGGGATCGCCCTTCCCGCTGGGATGGGTTAGCCTGCCCTCTGGGAGGGATTCCCCACCCTCTGGGAGGGATTCCCCATCCTCTGGGGGATCGCCCTCCCTGCTGGGCTGGGTTAGCCCGCCCTCTGGGAGGGATTCCCCACCCTCTGAGGGGATTCCCCGCCCTCTGTGGGGATTCCTTCACCCAATGGTGCTGATCCCCCTGCCCTGTGGTGGTAATCCCCCCGTCCACTGGGGGGATTCCTGTGCCTGTTGGTGCTGATCCCTTATCACACTGCATATAATGTAAAAAAAAATAATAATAATTGACTGAGCAGCGCAAGGCCGACCGACATATAATCAAACACCCACATTTCAAAGCTTCAAAGCCTTAATTGTCTCTCAGCCAAACCACTGAGGCAGCACCTCCGTCCTTGACTGGCGGCCCTCCCCACAGCGGCTGTGTCCACAGCATTGATTCACCGAAGCGGGGTGGCGACCTGCGACAATGATGGGGGGAGGGGCGGGAATCAGGTGTAGGGGCCAAGCGCGACGGCGAATTAGCGTCTAATCAGGCTTAATGATAGCGCGCAAAATCTGTTAGCGGTAGGCGGCTCAGGAGCAGCGTATCGGAGAGGCCCAGGGGGAGAGGGAAGGGGGTCTGGGGGTGGGAGGGACTGGGAGCTGGTGACGCAGGCGGGACACATCTGAACACTGGACTGGAATGCAGGGCTGTCCTGACCCTTTTCAGGGCCCAAAGCAAAATTTGATTAAACTAGTTGTCATTTGTCACCTTCCTTCACATTATCAAGGGGTGATCAGATGGGGGGGGCGCCCTCTGGTGGCCTCTGGGTGCTAAGCAGCCACTAATGTCACTTATGCCTTCAGCTGGCTCTGCCAGAGTGGCACAGAACCAGCCAGACTGGGTTTCCCTTGAAAATTTTACGTATAAACACTGACATAATAAGCAGCTGGGTGGAACATGAAACTTTTCACCGACGGTCACATCTGGGGGGAGAAGCAGCTTGAGGCACAAGAAGCTGGATTCCAGCTGTGAAACATGGGGAGTCCATCGCCGCTTTTGATATGAGCGAGATGGTTACACAGTACTGCCGTCACTGTGCCTTTAGGCGGAACATCTGCAGGTGCAGGAGACCTGAAGCTCTGCAGAGACAGCCGGAGGTCAGGCAGCAAGGCAGAGGAAAGAGCAAGTGAACTATGAGAGGTCTCAGAGGCTGCTGGCTCTCTGCATTCCCCGACAAAACACGAAGGAATGATTTTCTCTTTTCCACCAGCAGAGGGAGACAAACACACTTACATCCCCCTCACATACACAGTAGTCACACCATAAACCCCTAGGGGTGTACATAGCTGAACACCTGACTATAAATCTGCCCCCCCCCCTTTCATCCATAAGGTGTACTAACATGGGCTATGCATGCAAAACAAGCCAAAGGTGAACCAGAAACTATTCAGCACATCAGTTCAAGCTGGTATTGTTCATATGAAGGAGTGTAGCATTAAAACCAGTTTAAATGATTCCCCCCTCACACAAGTCCTTTAATGCAAATAAAAATTGTTGGAAGTATAAATTGTGCTTTCTGTTTGGTCTCCAGCATGTTTTCTGATTTTTTTTTTCTCCTCGGGTGTAATGCTGCTTGTGTCCACAGGAGGACTCCCATGGGAAGCACACCTACGGTTCCCAAGGCAACGCTTTCAGGTAGGTTTAACCCTCCGTATCAAACACTCAGCTGAAGCACACCTGTGTATGGAGGTGCAGTCTGATATACAGACACATATACAGACACACACATGCACACATAATCCACACTAAAGCCAGCAGACCATTCTCCCTGTAGAGAAGTACAGTGTCTGTATGTGTGTGTGTGTGTGTGTGTGTGTGTGTGTGTGTGTGTGTGTGTGTGTGTCTGTATGTATGTGTGTGTGTCTGTATGTATGTGTGTCTGTATGTGTGTCTTTATGTGTGTGTGTGT